GACATGGGATGACCACATAAATAAATCAGTCGGAAAAACATATGGAATCCTTAGATCGCTATATATAACGAAAGACTTTTTACCACTGAAAATCAAACAAACAATTGCAACAATGTACCTCACACCAGTACTTCTTTATGGTATCGAAGTCTTTAGTGACTGTAACTCCGATAGCCAACGAAAGCTGCAAGTTGCTTTTAATAATATAGCAAGATATATTAATAATATACATAGAACGAACATAGAAGAAGAAGAAGAACATATACATAGAACGCAATGATTAAGATATTCGATATGCCACTTAAATCATGGACAAACCATAGAGTCTTGGCATTATTGCAGAAAATTATATACACCAAATAACCTTGTTACCTAGTATATGAAAGACTTAGGTTTAGCACGTCAAGAAGGACCAGAAACAGTATGACAGTTAAATACAAGTACTCCTGCACAATGCGGCAATTGTTTGTATATGCTGTCCGCATTTGGAACCAACTTCCCCACGGCCGAAGCAATTATGGCCTTAAGGCCATAAGTGGCGCGAAGCAATTCAAGATCGCACTGGAGGAACATCTGCGCACTGCCTAACTTTAATAATTTAAACTTTTTAATAGTGTGGATGGATGAAAATAGAGCGAGACCTATAGAAATGAAATTAAATTTATTCTGTCAGTAAATGTTAGTACATAAGTTCAATTATAATTCTAACTGTAATTACTCTTAAATGTTACTATGTATTCTGTATTTTTAAATGTTAATAACTATTAGAATTGTTGTGACTAGTGCCTTAATTTATAAGTATTTATATGCTTGTCGCGCTAGGATGAAAAATACAAAATACAAATACAAATATTTAAATAATGAAGACAAATAGAATCTAATTATTGCAGCATTATATGAAGGACAATAATTTTTATAAATATAAAACAAATATTGTTTTCAAAACATTTTGTCTTCACGGTGGTCGGCACGGGAGGCGTCGCCGTCTGCTGCTGCTGATAGTCAGACACATTAGCTTGCTAATAAAATATTGGGGAGCCCAAGATATGCCTGGGGAAGAGCGACACCGGCTGAAGAAGTGCATTTTATTAACTTTAAACAAAACCAAGCAGCTGTCTGAGCATTTTAACCGTACGGAATTCAGTGCACACCTTTGGTCACACCACTGGCTGCTAGAAGCATATATGACATTTTTTTGCTAGCAAACAGTTTTTGGATCTGAGTACTAGGCTTAACACGAGTTCAATATTCTCACTTCAACGATCTGTATCTTGTCTTATATTATATGAATGCTAAAGATCTTAGTCTTGTTTTGTTGGTGAATCATTTTACTAGGTTTTTTTTCTTAAGCCATTTTTACAGTTTTGTATGTGTCCACACAGCCTTTTTAGTTTAAATTAATTAGTTCGTCTATGCGATGTTGAAACTGCGATTTAGCATACTGTGGGTGTAGCGTTGCAGGAAAAATAGCGTACCATGCATCCTTGTCCTCTCCCACAACATCAGCACTCCACTTCCACCGCATATTTTACCATCTGCGATTTTACATGGCTCCATATATTTTTAAACAAAATTCATATCGGGAGATTGTGGTGGGCACTTTGACCATTTTTTCACCAAAAGGGACGTGTACTTTTACTATAGCTAACTAATAAAAAAAAACTCATACTTTTTAGTAAGAACAGTTAGTTTGAATCGAAAAACGAAACAAAAGTTTGTATGAGACTCAACGCATAATCGGACAGTGCAGAAGTGCCAATGGAGAATACCGATTTTTCCTAAAAATCTGGTCAAAGCTTCGCTTTTTCTTATCGCATTTACTGGCTAGTTGCGTGGATATCTGCCAGATATCCTGATGGCTCCCCCAGGAATGTAATCCTTGTTGAAACTACGAAGGTTATAGTTAAATTGAACTTGTAAGAAAACTGTTCGGAAAAGCGCCACATTGGTTGGAAAATGCAAATTTACTGTGCTCTATATAAATATAATGTTCCGTAATGAGTTTAGCCTGGACAAAATATTGGGGAATGATTTTAAATGATCCAAAAGAGCATTTGATATTACAAAAATTTATCAATACCTTTAAAAAAAAATGTACATCAAAAACGATCGGGAAAAGACGTTTTCCTAAATAGTGAGCATAAGTGCATAAGTACCATTTCTATAAGAGATTTACTCAAAAAAAGCTTAATTTAAAATAAAATAATTCCAATGGGAATATATACTGAGACGAAAACATTGGTCGAATAAGGTGTTGTGATGGTATATCAGCTTAAATTCCAATGTTATTGATAGTATTCATTACTTCAAGATTTTATTTTTATTTTTTTAAGTAAATTTTTTTTTTTGTTATTGTATACGTTTTGAGCACATTTGTACTGGGTAAACAAGTGTCCGGTTATGCGACGTATCCTGTGACAGAAAATTATTATCCGGGAGTGGTTCGGAAACTCCGACTACATTAAACAGTGTAGCTTGTGGTATTTTTAATTGATCACAATCTCTATCAAATACCTTTTTTGGAACGGATCCCGCACAACCCCCGAGCTAGCTACGCTGCAAAACCGGGTGAACCGAAAATTCGTTACAATGTACTTACCATTACATCAAAAATTGTGGCGCGATGGAGAGGCCAACTTTGTATTAAATTCAGAAATGCTTTTTTTGCTTCTGCTGGTAACATTCCCCGAAGACTCTGATGATGCATAGCGACGGCTTCGTGAGGTATGTTGGGTACAAATCTTGGTGGCAAGCAATGACTTGCAACAGCTCGATAATCATTTAATATATCACGACAGTCACCAAGTTCCAGTTGCCCCTGAAGAGCTGTTAGCATAATTGCTTCCATCTCTGTTATTGGATAACGTTCGCTGCGTAGACTGTGTAGATTTTGATGGTATAACAATTCTTTTTCGACTGTATCGTCTAAATTTATATAATTGTCGCAAAATAAATGCTTTTTGAATAGAAAGATATAATGTTGCTGTCGTGAGCTTGAAACATTACTTTGCTGAAATATAAAAAAAAATTAATATTCAATAATAATTTTTAGGCATTTGAATTTAGTTGGTACCTAACGTCTAAGGTATAATTAATATTTTCTTAGTTTGAAGATATACAGGGAGGCTCCGGTTTTTACTTTCACAAAAAAATGTGCAAGACTTTTCCGTTTTCAAATCGGCATTGACATGAATTTGACTCCATTACCAGTGCAATTGAGCTTTTGGCCTTTTGATAAATCATTTTTATTTAAAGCAACCTCCAAATTAGAACTGAAAAAATTGATCAGGGCAAACATAAGAAGTAAATTCATCTTAACAGCTGTGGCAGCCCGATTTGTCATCGATAAATCTCTGTTAAACATAACAGAGGCCTTTTTGTATGAGCTGGCGAGTGGGTATAACAGCAGTAACACTACAGGGAATAAACAAATTCACTTTTGTGGATTCCAGAGTGCTTTGAAATGAAAAGTATTACTTTTTACTGAAAAGTAAAACGCAAAGTGAATCTGAAAACCGACCTGCCTGATAAATTCGATTCATCGAATTTGAGTTGGTAATGTGCTGCGCGAACCTGTGCAATAGGGTCACGTTTCCTTCCGTTTTCTTCCGCCTGTTCCCCTTGTAAGTTTATAATGGACATTCAGACTACTTATTGCATGACGTGTACGTCGTCAATGGTCGTCTAATAGTAGGCAGTGGTCAAGAAAATAACTTAGTTGATTTTTTCCTAGATGGAGAATAATATCTCCAGTTTAGAAATTTTTTCCGACTATGGCCTCTTCCGTTCTTCCTCATTCATATTTGAAAACCATCTTGTAGTATTCAGACTACGCATTTCGAGTGATTTAAAAATTTCACTTTTGAAACGGGTTTGGCGCTTTGGCGAAGCGAGTGCGCAGGGCTCTTGCTCACTAGAATCCTTTCAGACAAAGTATATTCGAAATTGACACACCCACTCTCGACTGAAATCCAAAAAGAGTGTATTTGTGGCTTTGTGTGTGCTAATGCCATAGGCTCTATTCCGAACAAAAATTTACAGGACAAATACTAGAGCCAAACAAAAGATATGATTTTGACCAAACTAAAATTACTACTAAAGTGACTAGAACATTATCGACCCACTCGCGAACACTGTGAAAGCACACTTCTACACTTCTTCAGTCCATGGTCGCACCTCAATCAAGATGAGCAGTTCATCCGACCAAAAATATTTTGGTCCATTCGAGCTGACCTTTAGGGTATTCATCATGAAGTGATGTCTCAATTTCAGGTAGTTGCACCTTTCCTAATGCGTACCACTTACCATTTGACTCTTGTTTATATTTGAGCGGGTGACAATGGGGACATTCTTTGTCCATAGCACCACTCAACACTTTCTAATGAGCGGAATGTTATCATGCATGGCTCTTTTCTAAAACAAAGCCGTGCTTTCTTAGGCGCATCAGGTGTTTTATTTTTTAAATTGCAATTGCTTTAAATGTTTGGCACTCTGATTAGTGCGAATGACCGTTGCCAAAATTTTCGTGTGCTGAAACCCACTTTTCATATTTTGGACTGCTTTTGTATGTTGTCTCATTTCGAATACAGTTGCCAACTACATTTTTTGTATTCGTCCGATTTTTTTAACAATTTCGCGCTGATTTAGGCCAGAATTAATGTAACCTTTTGTTTGACCTTTTAATTGCTTTTCGCGACCCATTTACTAAGCAATATTGACGAATATGTTTCTGAAAAAAACAAATTAATCTATATATATACAAATGAATCCCTATTTCCCTTCGTCCTGGCATCACGCGTGAACGGCTGGACCGATTTTGCTAATTATTTTTTTGTTGTGTTTGTTATTGTCATGAGAAGGTTTTTATGAAAGAAAAAAATTAAGAAAGTTGCGCGGTAAATTAGAAAATTTAAGAATACTCGGAAAATGTTTGAGTTGTTGTATAAAGTAGGCCTTTCCTGGGCTGTTGTATGGAAAGTGTTAGATAAATAAAAAAATAAATTCAGTCGGTTTAGAGTGCTCATATAGTACAGATGAAATAAATCTGGTTAGACCGAGTTGGCTAATTGTATAGAAATAGTTTAAAAGTGACTCTTTGCTAAATAAGTCGGGAAAACTGTGTGGAAAGCGTTACATAAGTTTTTTATTTATTTTGAAAATGGTTTTTTGTTAGTATAATCATCATAAATACTTATATATGTCGGATCATAATAATATTCCCAGTGTATGTCGGCCCAGGTGTTCAATAGCGAGTGTATTCTGAGAAACTCGCTCGGAGAGGATAAAAGGAGCGAGAGAAAGGGAGCGCACATCGAGCGTGTTCCTCTGCGGTGGTGAGTGTGAGGGAAGAAGATACAGAGACAAAGGGAAATTGCGTAACGAGTAATAATTGTCTCGGAGTGTCTTGCCCACACCACGAGCCAAGCTCTATTGACGTAGAACTCTTGTTAAAATGGCAGATCCAACCTAGGAAAATATTAATCCAACATATTTATACAGATTAATAAAGATGCTGCACAAGAAGATGGTAGGAGAGATAATAACATGAAGCATCCATATGCGTAGCGGGAGACGGAATGGGAGTCGATCCACTGAAGATGCCGGAGACGGGAATGGAATATTGTATATTTTATGCCGTCCAATTATTGAAAAAACATTTATGTTGCACGTATTATTCGACTCACTTCTCATCCATGCAACTACAATGTGCCACAGTGAAACGTGGCCAGGTACATATCTTATAAATACGTTTCCTAGAGACCGCAAACTTTTTGTGTTTCTTTAGAAATTAATCAATCCATTAAATAAAATGATTTCATCAAAATTGGTAAGTTGGTTTTGCAGATATAGCAGTTTTACTTTTGAAAATTCTTGAACCTATTCAGTTGAGCGGCACTGTATGTTTTGAGCCCATTCAGTTAAGTCATGAACGCATCAGTGGTGATTTGCACACCATGAAGCCCTCTTCTCATTGATTACACAAGTCAACACGACATTGACTTTTTCTGATAGATTTCGGGATTTTTAATTTTTTAACGAATTATGTTTTTTTTATGATTTAGTTTTTACTTTAAGAATTTTAAAAAATCTGGTATTTTTTTAATGTTTTTTTTCAGAGGTAGTGCTTCTAATTTTCACATAACTTAAGCATCTTATATCTGGTTTCATTGAACTTTGAAGTTCTCAAAAGCTGATAAAGCTATAAATCCAACCCAGACTGTTTGTAGCTTCAGCTTAACGCCTGGAGATATTAAGGTTTCAAATTCAAATTTGATAATTTTTTGCGTTATTTTTTTCGAATTTTGACTATAAATACTCAGGAAAAATCGAAAAAAAATAATTCTTGGCATGCATTTTTAGTTTGAGATAGGCGTCGTTTAATGTATCGTTTGTAAGAATCAATGGTTAAACGGCCATGTTGCAGCCATTTAACCAAAACGACTCAAAATTCATTTTACCTGAACAAATAATGTCTTGTACGTTGCTGCCCAACTGCCAAAATGGGATTGCAGGAAACAAAAAGGAGCTGTAGTTTTACCGAGTCCTAGGTATGGATATATCTCGGAGTTATACCCTACCTGTTTAAATCCATTTGGGCTGTAAATTTTGTATTACTTTTACTCTAATGCTGTGAAGAAAACCAGAGATTCACGGCTCTGAATGTTTCTTTTGTTCATTCAAAACAACTGGAATCGGGAGATCCATGAAATGGGGTCACCCGAAACAACCTCGTCAAGGCTTTCCGCTTTCGTGCTCCTCCTTTAGAGGAAATAGAGGAAATACCGCCACTAAAACGGAAAAAAGAGGAAATGTCGTCTTCGTCGCATTGTACAACGGATTCAAGTAATAATCAATCAGGAGAATATAAATATTGCAAACCTCTTTCACAGGAACAATTGAACGATTTGGTGGCGGTTGACAGCAGTAAGGAAAGTTGAACGGCTGTTTTGTTACACAATGGAAACCAAAAGGCGTCTGTTCCTGAAGGAAACATATCAAACAATGTCTACATTTTTTGAAAATAAAAAAATAATTGAAGTTTGAAGACGTTATTTTACCACCATTACACATTAAGCTGGGACTAAAAGTTTGTTGAAGCCTGGATAAGGAAGGCGAATCAATGAGTTACCTAAAAACTGTTTTTCCACCTCTGTCGCTGGCAAAAGTTAAAGATGGCCGCCAAACTCGAAAAATACTAAAAGATGATGGATTTGAAAATATTTTATCTACGAATGAAAACGCAGTCTGGAACTCATTCCGACTTGTCACAACAAATTTTCTTGGTAACGTGATGATCACGTTGATATCGTTCAAAACCTTATTAAGAATTATGAAAAAATTGGAGCCAACATGTCATTAAAAATCCATTTCCTGCACTCCCACTTAGATTTTTTTCCGACAAAGCTAGGGGAGGTTAGTGATCAACACGGAGAGAGATTTCACCAAACAAATAATGTTGAATATGTTGGGCGACTATGTGTGGACTCTCATAAAGAAATCTGATTCGAATGACAAAGCATGACAGCCACAAAGCTTAAATTATTTTAAGAAGAGTAACAAGCAGTATAAAACCAAATTTATCACACATTATCAAACTTGTAGCAACATAACAACAAACAAAAAACGAAAAACACAACGAAAAAAAGTAACTTTCAACAACATTTAATGACAAAGAAACACGTTCAGGTACCAAAAATGTAACTTCTTTTCGTTTGCGTTGTTCCCAATCGGCAGTTGGGAAAAATACCGCAAAAAAATTATCAAAATTGAATTTGAAAGCTTAATATATTCTAGGCGTTAAGCTGCAGCTACAAACTGTCTGGACCGGTTTTATAGCTGCAGCAACTGCAAAGTTCTATGCAACCAGATATAAGAAACTTAAGTTATTTGAAAAATAGAAGCACTACCTCTGAAAAAAAACATGAAAAAATAGCAGATTTTAAAAATTATTAAAAAAAAAAACTAAACCATAAAAAAGAATTCATAATTCTTTAAAAATTTTTAAATCCCGAAAAGTCATTTTGGGCCACAGCGGAAATGTCGTGTCGACTATTGTTATCACAGTCAGCCCAACATCGTCGAAATTCGCGTTGTTCGCAATCTTTTCCCTCTTGGTAACAGACGGCATGCGAATAATTACACTAACATTTCGGCGATGGTCCGATAATAGTCTTAACTCCTCCGCGAAATTATCGACCATGTCTCTGGCGGGCACTGCAGACGTTTTGCTGCGTACCACCAAGTACCACTTGTTAGCTGGTCGCTTACAGGTGAAGGCAAAGCCACTATTAGACATTCAAGGGTGGAAGCTTTTTGAAGGCTGGCCCTTATACACACAGTGGCTCGTTTTCTGAAAACTCGCTGCAAAAGTCGGATATCGCGTTGTTGAATTTGGCTTTTGTTACTTTTGTTACACTTCAATTAAGAATTGATCAAGGTATTTGTTCGGCTAAGCGCCGGCCCATGGCAGCACAAAGAGTAGTTGATCATCTCTTAATCTAATGTCTCTCTTTATAACCGTTTGTTTGCTTGTACTTATGCTCTTGCTGGTGCGTTGCTCTTTCTCGGCGTTAGTCAGCCGCTGTGGGGGAGCCTCATCAGAAAAAGCAGAAGACACTTCAAATTCGATCATCAACGTAGTAAAACGTTTGGCTGTCTGGCACAGTGACCTGCCTGCCACAGAGTTCTAAACTAAACCTAACATAAACATATCAACTTCAACAGTCTTGAACCGGCCCCCGCGTCTTCAATCGACCCATCGTTAACTCTCGTTATCAAATTCGCACACCTTTCGCTAGTTTTGGATAATACATATATATTAACTTAAGTAAAATAAATTGTGAATACATTAACTGAACAATCATCGTCTCTTAAATAATCTTGCAAAACAACGCTACTGAAGAAGCTCAGTAGCTCAACATTGGTGACCCCGACGTGATATAAACATAAACTCTTTAAATTTTATCACAAAAAACGTTTTCGTTGGATAAATTCGCTTTAAACCACGGTGTTTCGGTTCATCGTTTGTGCACAAGCAACAGAAACGGTTCTCGCGTCATCTGCTTTGCGGTCTGCTTGCTTGCTGTTGTTTCGTTTCGGTTTCGTGCTCTCAGTGTGCATGCCTTTGTTGTTGTCGGATGCACAAGTGCAGTGCGTTTCAAACTGTTAGCTCTCGCTGCTGATCTGTAAAACTGCAAGACTGTGTGTTTTGAACGCTGCGATCGATTGTACAGTTCGTGTAAAACTGTTCGAGGTTAGTCACCGGCTGTTAACCTCTACACTCTCTCAGTGACTCTAAGCCCAGCTTTTCTATTGAACATACACGATGGCTTCTAATAGCACCCCTTCAATCTTGCCCCCCTCACCATTGTTCGTCGATTCGGAAGCTGCATTCTACAAGCGCAAGGTGCAATCCATGCTAGGGGCGGCACGGAGAATCGAAACGGCCGTCGGCAAGGAGAGGATTGGCGAGCTCAGTGATGAGGAGCTGAACGTGAGGCTGAAGCTGCTAGCGGATCTTGTAGCTTCATTCAACGAGCACCATAATGCCCTGGAGAAGATTGATCTCGATGAGATCGGTAGTCTCTTGAGGGATGAGTTTGACGAGTGCGTGGTCATGCTGGAGATTCGCATGAAGCGAGAGTTAAACAAGCGGGAGACACAATGCTACCATGTTCAACAATGCGGGCGGACCATGTAGGAGAGGCCCCAACTACGGTCGTCGTGCAAAGTCGGCCACGCCTGCCGGAGTTGAAGCTTCCTGAGTTCGGTGGGGGCTACGCTCAGTATTCCTCGTTTTGGGGCATGTTCTCCTCCATTATAGATAAGGACCCTGACCTTACGAATGTCTAGAAGCTGCAGCATCTACGATCATGCCTAAAGGGACCAGCGCTGGACACGATCTCGTCGCTGAAATTTAGCCACGCCAGCTATCCTATTGCTCTAGATTTACTCAGCAAATGATTTAATAACAAGCGTCTCATCTTTCAGGCACATGTCACAGACATTCTGAGCTTGCAGCGTGTCGAGGCCTCATCTGTTTCCCAACTACGGTCCCTTTCGGATACAGTTAATGCCAATCTGCGAGCTTTACAAAGTATGGGGACAAAGGAGCAGATTGCTGACTGCATCTTAATACACAGCCTGCTACAGAAGGTGGACAGCGCCACACAAACCAAGTGGGAGGAATGCTCGTCGTTGGATAGCATACTTGCCAGCCAGCAATTCGCCACGTTTCTGGAGCAGAGATGCCAGAGGTTGGAAACCCAAGAGCACGCAAATGATATGTACACCCAGAGCAGTCGGAAACACTGTCTAATCGCAACCAGCTCCAAGGTCTGTACATGCTGCGGTGATCCAGGACACTCCATTTATGCGTGTTCACAATTTGGGAATCTTTCCGCTCAACTTCGGCTTCAGGAAACTAAGAAGCTGTCACTGTGCACCAACTGTCTCCGAGCAGGCCACACGCAGGGTGCATCACACTCTACTTCACTTCGAGTCCCCGTCTTACGGTTCTCAATCCATTCTGCCATCAGTGTCACATTCTACATCAGCTCCGCAATTGCCCGCGGGACCCTCTGGCGTTGTACATACTGCAACAGCGTCAGCCACATCGCTTTTGGCCCAGAGTCACAGGCAGGACATCGTACTTCTTGCCACTGCCATAATCAGCTCTGGTACACTCATTCCATGCCGTGCCATGCTTGATTCTGGATCGCAGGTGCATCTCATTACTTCTCGCCTGGCTCAGCAGTTGCAGCTTCAAAGGAAAGAGTCGGATGTTTTGGTGTCTGGTCTCGGCGAGTCGCGTGCCACA